ACTAAAATTTTCATCTCAGAAATGGTTTCATTAGTCTAGAATTAGTGGGCAGGGACATTTGTAATTACCACTCCCATGAATAAGAATATACTACCTCCTATGCACATGGTTTTGGATATAAACAAGAAACAAAAGTTTTTCTGTTCTTACTGATATTGCACGAGAAATTGCTTATGGGGTCATCTATGTGATGCCGGGGTCAGAGGTTGGGGGATGTTTGTTCTATTTCTAAACTTCAATTACAGGAAAATTTCAACTACTCTTGATAGTTCCACTATAAAATGATGGTAAAATGAAATGAATCTAGATTTTCTGCCACCCTGATATCAATATTATTAATTAAAATGTTAGTTCTATTTGCTAAATAAAGAAAGCTATACATTAGTCTGGGTCAAAAAAGTAGAATTTTTTTTATCATGAACAATTATTATTATTTTCAATTTTTTGCTATAGGGCATGTGCACTTGCTGGAGACAGTCAGAGAGAGAGAGAGAGAGAGAGAGAGAGAAAGAGAGAGAAAACCCTCCTGAGGAGATGGCCAGGCTGGAATCCCTTCTTGTCCACTCTCCTCTTGGGATCTTGGGCATGCACACATACACACCTGGTGTCTTTTTCAAGCTTCTGGGTTCAGGACTCAAACTGTGCAGTCAGCCATATGAGATCCAGCTGCCTGAACCTCTACGCTATCTGCTGGCCCCCGATTATTTTTATAATTGGGAAAAATGCACATTATATTAGAATAACTGGAATCAAATCATGTTGTTTTCTCCTCTTGCTGGTAACTTTTGAACCCTATGTTAAACCTGCTATACATAAGTTTTGTTTTCAAAATGAAAATTAAAAACTGACTTTTTTCCTCCTAATTATAGAAGTAATACAGCCAGCACAGGAAGATCTCCAACTCGAGGCCAGCCTGAGCAATATAGCAAGACCCTGTTTGAAAGAACCAGGCAAACCAGTAGCAATCCTGGTACTTGAGAGACTGAAGCAGGAGGACTGTAACAGAGGATGACTTGTCTTTAAAAAAAATAATAATGTAATATGGATAATCCAATTCTGGGACAAGATCGCATGAACTGTATTCCTTCCTGTTTCTTCTGTTAAGTACAGTTAAACAAACAAACAGTAAACGCTGGCCAGTACATAAAAAACAAGAACAAGAATAAAGATAGCTGGGCACCTGTAGTCCCAGCTACTAAGGAGGCTGAAGCAGGAGGAATGCAAGTCCAAAGCCAGCCTCTGATTTTCTGTGTCATATATCCCAGACAGGGTGCTAGAGATATGGACATCCAGGAAAAGCTGATAGGCTCAGACAAAAACAGCTGCCTACCCCACCCCCCAAAAAAAGAAAAAAAACACAAAAGCATGCTCTCTCTAGACAAATGATCAGGAAAGGGGCAGTGTGGCAAGGTAGAGAACATTTGAGTTAATAACCACCAGTGAAGAAAGGCTAACAAAGGAAGTTTGAGCCTACTATCCCTAGAAAGGTCTGCATGTGTGCTTGGTCCTTGGCTGACATGTGTGGGAACTTCCTGCTCAGACATGAAACTTTCCCTAAGTGGCAACAATGGCTCACTGTGCCTCAACTGTGTGTAAACAACGTGGCTTATGTTGTGCCCCTGCTTTCTTTCTAGGAGTCTGGAAGTTCAATTAGGCAGCAAGTAACAACATGAAGAACCCCTCTCCTTCCCCAAGGTCCTGGCGCCGAGTCCCTCATGAGCTTCGTTGACAGATATATTTCATACCTGTTTTCACAGTTCATTGCTGGAGAAGTGAAGGCCATCCTGTGTGATTTCACTGCAGAGGACTCTTAGACTCTTGTGCCTGGTATCCTCTGGACTCTATTCCACGAGGCTTCTTCCTTTGTGAATCCTCCTAGTGAATCACTAATCCTGAAAGTATTCTTGGAAACCCAAGACACACTGCCATACTCCAACCGAATATCACAGAAAAAGCAGTGGCTCCCCCCGCTGCTCTCCCTGTACCCCTGCCAGCCCCATCAGTAGTAGTTGAGTGAGAAGCCCAGACTTCTAGTCTGTCCTGTGGGGCTGATTTTAAACACTTTTCAGCTCCCCAACTGCAGGCAAGCAGTAGATATTAGAAAAGAGCAACAAAGTGCTATAGTGAGGGACCAGCGGTTGACATAATGGCTATGTTGCTGGACTCCCATGTAGTCCACTGAGATTCGAGTCCCACAGCTGGTGGCTTAAACTCATGCCAGGTGCATGTGCGTGTGTACCCAGGATCCTGAGAGGAGAATGGAGAAGAGATTGCAGTGTGGCCATCCCCCCTGGGAGGTGGTTTCTCACTGTCTGTTTTTCTGGAAAGCGCACAAGCACCAATAGCAAAAACCTCTCCAAAAAAAAAAAAGTGCTATAGTGAACGACTTTTTTTTTTTTTTTCTTTAAAGATTTGTATTCCAATTAAAAAGAGGGGAGAGGAGAAGCTTTATGGGGAAGTAGGTAAGAGCTTGGCAAGAGAAGGTAGCCTCTAGGGGAAGAAATAACCTAAGAGAGAAAAGGGAATATTGGTATGGGGAAGACGGACATAAAAGCAGGTAGTGGTGGATTTCTGGCCCAGGTGCGGAAGTACCCTTTTGTCTTCCAAGTCAACCATGGTCAGTGATATCAGCAATCCTATGATTTTGTGAAATCGATTCTTCCAGTTGCTTCGAGCTGACAACCCACCTAAGTAGGAACTCCGAGGCATAGGTGCTGCACACACCCACGAGTGAAAAACAAGAGTATTACACCCCATGCAGTAGAAGAGAACCTACATGGAGCAACAAAAGGCAGACTTTTTTTTCCCCTGTTATTACTGGCTGCTGTGAGCTCCCCAACTCTGGCTCCCTTTATTTGCTAGCCAGAGAGAAACAGAGAAAGCACGCCTCTCTCCATAAGGAATGGTCATGTCACATTTCCTTCTCTTCCACTTCTCCGTTATTTCATGATTTTGGACGCGCATGCACAAGCGCCTGGTGGGTTTCTCAAGTGGCCAGTCCTGGACTCCAGTTGTGGTCAGTCATGTGGGATCCAACTGTCTTAACTACCATGCCATGGAGTCATACTGCTGTGAGCCCTTTGTAGGTTCACTTTGTATTAATTGCTAGTCCAATTTCTTTATTCAAATGACACCTTCCAATCTATTCTAAATGTATTCTTAATGGTATTTTTGCTCTTATGAATGTTTACCTAAACAGAAATGGATCTGGAGGAACTGAGATATGGGCAAGAGAACCTGAAATTATCTGTAGGATGGACCATTTATCCAGAACACTCTGCTGTCCCAATTCTCTGACAAATACTACTATTCAATCTATGGCAATTAGTAAAGCATCTACCTTCTAGTAACATTTAAACTTACTGGACCCCCTTGTAACATGGCTATTCTACTATTAAAAACAAGAACCTCACTGTTGCAGGACCAGCAGATGGTGTAATGGCTACATCACTGGACTCCCACATTCGACTGTGGTTTGAGTCCCGGACCCAACAGCTTAAAACTCACCCCAGGCGCATGCATGCCCCAAATCCCAAGAGAATGGAAGAGAAGGGATTGCAGTGTGGTCATCTTCCTGGGGGGTGATTTCTCACTTTCTGGCAAGTGTACATGCCCTATAGCAAAAATCTCTCTTAAAAAAAAACAAAACAAACAAAAATCCTCACTGTTCTTTACATCAAAATCAGTGAAGCCTAAAAATGTTGTAATGGACTTTGGTGATTTACAAGAAGTAGCTTCTCTAATTATAGCATAAGAATAAAAAGTAGCCAAGCAGCTAGTTAGCAAGTAAGCAAAGCATGAAAAAGAGATGAGGTTGAAAAAAATTATGATTATCCATTCAGGAGTCAAGTTCCTTGTCTTTGATGATCTTTTGGGCATGACTGCCTTTTGCAGTGGGCATAATTTCCACTGAAAAGATGTTTTAAAATGTTAAATGAACAGATATCCATGCATTACTAGTGTAGGAAAAAAATTACCAGAAGAGGGAGGGAAGGAGAATGTAAAATAGTGTGTGTCTCTTCAAAAAACTGAGACACAAAACTTGGCTTTTAGCTTCCTGTCTACCACTGCGAAAAGGGAAACATAAAATGCAGGTTACATCTCTGTTAAACAGAAGAGAATAACAGGAAATGGTACGGCTTTTTTGGCTAATATTATTTTTGGGTTTCCCCTTTGTTTAAAAAACCTGCTTTGTTTGACGTCGACTGCACAACAATCTAAACGACGATGCTTCCCCCTCTCTTTGGAGAGCTATATAGTACAGATGGGGACCGCTCTAAATTTCCACGGAAGTCTGGAATTCTTGTTGCCAGGGTTTGTAACTGGTTCTCCCGGCATTCCGGAGGAAGGATGGCATGGACGCGGGGACGAGCGGGTGAAGACCGCAGCTCTCACACTGAGATTTGCTTTCTTGCTTCTCTGAGTAATTAAGGCATATCCCTTCTCTTCCTGACGCTCCTCAGTTTTCCCTAGAATTGAGTACAATTCTAAGCCCCTGAAAATGATAGTGTTGGTGGCCGCTGACGCCATGGAGGGGTTTCAAGACTTCGGTTCTTAAAGGTCACCTTTTCGGCCTCATTCGCAAGATACACCCACACGAGTCCTACTCACGAGTCCCACGACGATCTCTGCACACCTGCAGAGGCCACTCCACGGCCAACTCTACCCCACCTCCGCACCCCCAGTTTCAACGTGGGCGAAACAATACACGCTACGTCATACAACCCCGAAGTACCTGCCCCCTGCAGAGCTCCGAACGCGCGCATGCGCAGAGCCCGCAGGGCCCGAGCGTACCCAGGGACCATGGGCATCTGCACATCCGTCACGGGCTCGGAAAGGCTGACTTCGTCGCCTGGCGGAACTCCCTGACAGCAGCTGTCTAGATGTACCACCCGAAAACAAGCAAGCAAAGCAGCCTTTCCGTTCCCAGCACATTTCCGTTTCAAAACACTCACTTCCGCTTTGTCAGCCGGTTCCGGCCCTGCCCCTCACTTCCGGCGGCCCGTCCCCCTCCCTCCCGCCCGCCTTCAGTTCCGCTGCGGCTGGTTCCTGCGTCTGCTGCCGCTGGTTCCGCCGCGCTCCAGGTGAGGAGACGCGAGGCACCCGGGCTTCGTGCCGGTGGAATCGCCGTTGGAGCCGAGGGTCGCCGCCCTGCTGCCCACGTGCCACTGCGGCTGGCCCCAGCGGGCTGGGGGTCGCGTCTGTCCTATCCGGCAGGCCCCTGGCCCGACCCCACTAATAGCGAGGACAGCTACCCTCCGGTCCGGCCTTCTTGCCTATTTCAAAGGCTTCCCTTGCCCCAGTGGGGTTTGCATCCCCAGACTTCGTTCTTTCCTTTTCTCCGGCTTGTCCATCCCTACCCTCGCTCCGGTCGTAAAGGCATGCGGCCCTCGCGGGTTCCGGAGTCCGAACCTGCCTACGGTGCTGTCCCGTCCCTGTCCCTCGGCACAGCTCGTCTCTGCACTGGCCGGGAGGTGCACGTACTTCACGGTTAACCTGTTACTAGCTTGTTGAAAAGTTGGCTCCCCCCTGTCCAATCTCAAGGCGTTACTTTTGCAGCTAGCCTTTCAGTTTTCTGTCTTTGTCACCTTTTAGTTCTTAAGTCGACATCACCGCCGCCATTCCTGTCGCTTTTCCAGTTTACAAAGTGCTGTTGAGGTCTTACGCCTTAACATCATTCCTGTCCAGCACATATTTAATAGTCTGTGGTTGAGTAGACTGAGGCCCAGAGCAACAGGAATTGACCAGGCAAAGCCAACATAGTGTGCTAGGCAGGTCTCCAACCTACCGCTGTTCTGGACTTGGTTTACCATAAAGGTGTGCTCTATGCTTGCTTTTTGGAGTTGGATTACCAGCCCCTGTTACCCCACCCTATAATTTTAATTGATCAGAGGGAGTCTGAAATAATACAAAATGCTAGGATTATGTAAGAAAGAGATACATTATGAAAACATAAGCTCACGGGTGTATGTCCCGCAGCTCCATTGATGTGGGTGAGCTCAGTAGTGATAAAATAAGGTTTGGTAACTTTTTTAGTATATGTGTTGCCGACGCAAGCACAGATTAGTAACTTTTTAAAGCAGTCGTAAGGACTTAGAGATTAAAAATTCGTGTGATGTTTTGTTATATTTTTCCTTTAGGGCATTTGCGAACTTGGAATTGCCAATTGTGGCATAGGTGCTTCATAAAGTTTGTATGCTGTTTTCTTAAGCACAGAGGATTCATGCCATCCGGCCTGTTTTCTGTTTTAAGGCTGACCACACTGAAGTGCCTGTAGTGCTGACTCTCACATTGTAGCGTGCTATAGAGATGGAGGATGGGGCTCACTAAAGCCCACATTGCTAGGTCCCTCCCCTCTACCAGGATTATGTTTCTTACGAGTTACCAGGTGTGGTCCATGCTGTGGTTTGGTCCAGGGATCACACTTTGAGAACGACTAGTCTAAAGAAGAAATGACTTGTCAAAAGTCACCTGAAACTCAGGTGATCTCTCTCCAAACTCAGCCATTTTATTAGTGCTGCTGCTTTCCTAGCTCTTCTAAATAGATATTTTTATGCCTGCCTCTGACAGGAAGATGATAATTAAACACCATTTCAGTTTGATGTAAGAGGTACAGTTGAAGGCCAGCTCGTAGCATGGTGATTAAAGATCTCACATGGCCGACTCTGCAGCTCCTAGTCCAGGACTCAGTAGCTTGAGAAGTCAGGCACATGTGCATAAATGGCACAAATCCCAAAAGAATGGAGAAACAGAGGAGAAAAGATTGCAGATGATCATTCTGCATAATGGGGTGCTTTTTCACTTTTCTTTTCTTCCCCAGTGGCCTCTGGCAAATTTCTTTAAAATGGTACACTGGACTTTTTATTGAAGATGATGACATTTGTTAGAGCAAAGACTGTCTAAAAAGAAATGGATTACTGTAAATGAACACATTTGCTTTAAACTTCCAGTAGAATAGGTAAACATGATAGAGTAAATGTAAAATTAGTGTAAATATGGGAACCAGCAGTTAGCGTAATGGCTATGTCGCTGGACTCCCACGTAGTCGACCGTGCTTCGCGTCCTGGACCTGGTGGCTTAAAACTCACACCGGGCGTGTGTGCATGCGTGCCCAAGATCCCGAGAGGAGAATGGAGGAGAAGGGATTGTGGCGTGACCATCCCCCCTGGGGGGTGATTTCTCACTTTCTGTCTCTATGTCTCTCTCTGTCTGGTGAGCACATGTGCCCTAGAACAAAAAACCTCTCCAAAAAAAAAAAAATTAGTGTAAATATGAAATGTTTACTAGTAAATATAAATAGGAATTTATGGTACTTTCTTCTAATGGGTATGTTAGTAGAAGACACTGTTTCCAAATTATTTTTGCATATTGAAATTCAAAATTTGCTTTCTATCTTGCAGTTGGTCATAATATTGCCTGAAGAGTGCAATAAAATGTTTTGTCAAATAAATGAAAGCATTTATAAATACCATACAGTACTCAATATGAGAAAAACACGGTTCTGTCACCTGGGGAGCAAGCTTATGAAAAGTAGCAAGACTTGGGGGTGAAAAAATCTACAGTTGATTGGCGATGAGACTAGCAGCTGCTCTATAACCACGTGTGCTTAGATCTGTGTGTTTTGTATTTTCTGATCTTTGATACTTTGCTTCTGTAGGTCCAGTTGGAGAGAGACAGTTGTGGGTATAGGGGAAGAAACATGAGATTTAATCAGAAGACCTGTTACCAGCTACAAGCCCTTGAGGAGATTACTCTAGGAACTTCTCTTTCTGGGTCAGCAGGTGGTGTGGTGGTTAAGGTGCTTGACTCCCATGTGGTCGACCACAGTTTGAGGCCCAGACCTGGTAGGTTGAAACTCACACTGGGTGCATGTGTGTGTGTGCTCAGAATCCCGAGAGGAGAATGGAGAAGGGATTGCAGCATGGCTATCCCCCTGGGGAATGATGCTTTGCTTTGTCTCTCTCTCTCTCTCTGTCCTCTCTATTTTTTTTTTTTTTTTTTTGGAGAGGTTTTCGCTATAGGGCGCATGCGCCCGCCAGACAGAGAGAGACATAGAGACAGAAAGCAAGAAATCACCCCCCAGGGGGGATGGTCACGCCACAATCCCTTCTCCATTCTCCTCTCGGGATCTTGGGCACGCAAGCACATGTGCCTGGCGTGAGTTTTAAGCTACTGGGTCTGGGACGCAAACCGCAGTCGACTATGTGGGAGTCCAGCAACATAGCCATTACGCTAACTGCTGGTTCCCTCTCTCTGTCCTCTCTTTAAAAAAGAATGTCTGGTTCCTTAATTGTAAAAGAGGGTAAAACTCCTATCACACAATGTTAAATGGTATAAAAATTGTCCAATTCATAAAGTGTGAAACAAAAAATGGCTATTATTTGTTATATTACTGTTTACTTAACACAGTGCCTGGAACATGAATGTTCAGTTTGAAAAAGACATATTTAACCACTACACACTTACATGATGCTAACTGTGCCAGGCACGGAGTGACTTACAGTTATCTAATCCGTTTTTTTTTTTTTTTGGAGAGGTTTTGTGCCATAGGGCACGTGTGCTCACCAGACAGACAGAGCGAGAGACAGAAAGCGAGATATCACTCCCCAGGGGGGGATGGCCATGCCACAATCCCTTCTCCTCCATTCTCCTCTCAGGATCTTGGACACGCATGCACACGTGCTGGGCCTGAGTTTTAAGCCACTGGGTCCGGGACTTGAACCGCGGTCCCCTACATGGGAGTTCAGCGACATAGCTATTATGCTAACTGCTGGTCCCAAGGTGCTATCTAATCCTTGTAAGAGCCCTAGGAATAAGTTAACATTATCATTCTCATTTCACACGTGGGGAAACCTAGGCACCAAGAGTCACATAACTTCCCAAACTCAAATAGTTAATAAGCGCGGGAGCTGGGATCTGAACCTGGGCATCTGGTTCTAGAGCCTGTGCTCTACCTGACTCTACATCTCTATCTCTTAAATGTTAAGTGAACACGAGTGGTATATCACAGAGGAACTTGTGTGTAGCACAAACTTCACCAAACAGAGCAGGAGGACTGGGAATCTCATGATCGCAGTTTCCAGTTGAACAGCAGGGAGAATCTGGTAGAGTATCAAGGAGTAATAACTGGGTCCAGAAGTTAGCGTAATGGCTATGTTGCTGGACTCCCACGTAGTCGACCGTGGCTTGAGTCCCAGACCCGGTGGCTTAAACTCATGCCAGGCACTTGTGCATGTGTGCCCAAGATCCCGAGAGAAGAATGTAGGAGAAGGGATTGCGGTGTGGCCATTCCCACCCCTGGGGGTGATTTCTCGCTTTCTGTCTCTCTCTGTCTTCCTGGTGAGCATAGGCGCTGTATAGCAAAAACCTCTCCAAAAAAAAAAGAAGTAATAACTAAGCCAAAAATTGAGAAGTGGGGGAATTTTGACTTGGAGTCTTAGTAACTTTTGGTATTCTGGTATCACTTCTTTTTTTTTTTTATGAGCTTTTTGCTATAGGGCGCATGCACTCGCCAGAAAGACAGAGACAGAGACAGAAAGTGAGAAATCATCCCCCAGGGGGGTTGGCCACGCCTGCAATCCCTTTTCCTCCATTTTCCTCTCGGGATTTTGGGCATGCACGCACACACGCCTGACGTGAGTTTAAGCTACCGCGTCTGGCACTCGAACCATGGTGGACTACGTGGGAGTCCAGCGACATAGCCATTACGCTAACTGCTGGTCCCTCTAGTATCACTTCTGTAAAGAAAAAAATCCTGCCCTCCCCTCCCCCCCGCCATCAAAATGTGAAACAGGACTCACTGTGTTAGACATAAAATTAGAAAATTTACTTAAGCGTATCCACATCAACTTGTTCATTTGTGTCTGCCCCCTTTCTAGGTGTTTTTCTGAAGAAAAGTTGCCTCCTCATATGTATCAAGAATGGCTCTCCCTATCATTGTAAAATGGGGTGGACAGGAATATTCAGTGACCACACTTTCAGAAGATGATACTGTACTAGATCTTAAACAGTTCCTAAAGACTCTTACAGGAGTGTTGCCTGAACGCCAGAAGTTACTCGGACTCAAAGTTAAAGGTAATTTTCTTCACTCTGTACATTTTTGCATTGCTTTTTGTGCATTTTTGTATTCGCTGTTATCTGTTGTTAACTTTAATAAGTCTTTTTCTTTGGAGATTACTTTAATAGGAGTATCCCTAAAAATTATTTTAGGGGTAAAAGAAAGAGTATTAAAGGTTACTTGAAAAATATCACCATTAAGATTGGTTGTTTTTTCCTCTGATAGTTTGTGTTTGCTTGTTAAACCTTTGGCACAGAAATTTCAGGTGAAACTTTTATTTTCTGATACCTCTTTTTTGGTACAGAGTTGTCATTATATTATGGGCCTCTTACTCTCCCCAAATGATCTTTTCTGTTTCAAAAGGGAAGATTACATTTAAAAATTATAAGCACGTGATCAGACCCATTTTAAAATAGACTTTTATAGTGTTTGTGTCTATCATATCATTAAAGGGTGAGTTTTGAGGAACAGTTGATTTACAGTTCTGTCTTAGGGACTCAGTTTTCAACGCCTCCTGGAAAGCAGTGATCTTCCTCTTGAATAACAAGATAAAATACTAATTGATTTTGTTTAGTTAAATAAAGGTGTTATTTTAATGTGAAGTTGGGGGAAAAAGCAACCCTTGTATTGGTTGGCTAATTCTTAGTGTCTTAGATATGACTAACACAGCAGTAACAATTTGTTAATGTAAGCACAAAAACAAAATATTCAGTGACCACACTTTCAGAAGATGATACTGTACTAGATCTTAAACAGTTCCTAAAGACTCTTACAGGAGTGTTGCCTGAACGCCAGAAGTTACTCGGACTCAAAGTTAAAGGTAATTTTCTTCACTCTGTACATTTTTGCATTGCTTTTTGTGCATTTTTGTATTCGCTGTTATCTGTTGTTAACTTTAATAAGTCTTTTTCTTTGGAGATTACTTTAATAGGAGTATCCCTAAAAATTATTTTAGGGGTAAAAGAAAGAGTATTAAAGGTTACTTGAAAAATATCACCATTAAGATTGGTTGTTTTTTCCTCTGATAGTTTGTGTTTGCTTGTTAAACCTTTGGCACAGAAATTTCAGGTGAAACTTTTATTTTCTGATACCTCTTTTTTGGTACAGAGTTGTCATTATATTATGGGCCTCTTACTCTCCCCAAATGATCTTTTCTGTTTCAAAAGGGAAGATTACATTTAAAAATTATAAGCACGTGATCAGACCCATTTTAAAATAGACTTTTATAGTGTTTGTGTCTATCATATCATTAAAGGGTGAGTTTTGAGGAACAGTTGATTTACAGTTCTGTCTTAGGGACTCAGTTTTCAACGCCTCCTGGAAAGCAGTGATCTTCCTCTTGAATAACAAGATAAAATACTAATTGATTTTGTTTAGTTAAATAAAGGTGTTATTTTAATGTGAAGTTGGGGGAAAAAGCAACCCTTGTATTGGTTGGCTAATTCTTAGTGTCTTAGATATGACTAACACAGCAGTAACAATTTGTTAATGTAAGCACAAAAACAAAACAAAACAAAACAAAACAAAAAACCTGCCATGGCATCTGTTCCAATCCTTTTAATATTAGGGTCTTATATAATGGATTAGAGAAACCAGCACCTGAACTTTAGTGAGAAAACAGTCATTTGCTTGTATTGTAGGCAAACCTGCAGAAAATGATGTTAAGCTTGGAGCTCTCAAACTGAAACCAAATACTAAAATCATGATGATGGGATCTCGTGAGGAGAGCTTGGTAAATGTTTACTTTTGTTACCATTTGTCCCTTTGAAGATATTATGATTTGATTTATAGTACACTCTTGCATCACAGTTTTAATTTTGGTAGAATTGTCATTTTAGCAGTGGATGAAAATAAAAGCTGCACGGTGAACGTGGCATTAACTCAGCAGAAAATAAATACTGGGGACCTTATTAGTGTTTAGTTAGCTGTAAATATAGGGGTAGCCCAAATGGCCAAATTTCACATGGTCAATCCGCCCACAGGACATACGTAATGAACCGTTAATTGTGTAGATTTTCTCGCAGTGTGTGCTTGAAAGACTCTTGAGTTCAAATTATACCTCTCCTTTGATGTTTATACTGTCATTTATTTGTTATGCTAAAGATAAAATTGTAAAAACATTTTTCCATCTTAATAGGAAGATGTCTTAGGTCCACCTCCCGACAATGATGATGTTGTCAACGACTTTGATATTGAAGATGAAGTGGTAGAAGTAGAAAATCGGTAAGTGCTTTTCACTTTAGAGGAAATCGGCTGTCCTGTCAGGACAAGTGAGTATTTCATGTGCTTTCTTTTTTTCTTTAGGGAAGAAAATCTACTGAAAATTTCTCGCAGAGTGAAAGAGTACAAAGTAGAAATTTTGAATCCTCCCCGGGAAGGGAAAAAGCTTTTGGTCCTGGATGTTGATTATACATTATTTGGTAAGTCAGTTAATAATGTGCTTCATCTGTAGTTACCCACAGCAATATTCTTTTTTTTCGATTTGCTTGTTTTGCTTTTTTTTTTTTTTTTTTTTGCAGCAACTCAGGGTTCAAGAAATGTTTGAAAACTTTCCTTTTTAATGTAAAAGTAAATTGTTCATTGCAGAAAATACAGATTAAATAAAAGTAAGTCATCTGAAATCCTAAGACCTAATGATAACCACTCGTAATATTTTGATGTGTACCTTCTAGAATGTATTGGTATATATCTTCTTTCTTTTTATAACTTAATGATAGATTGCACATCTCAGTCATAAAATACTGTTCACTGTGAATTAAATATGTGTATATTTTTTGGCCACAGTATATTCAAGTTTGTGGATGCATCATAACCAGATTATTCCCTGTATATTGACTAACATTTGAATTGTTATGAGGAATATTTTTATCCCATACTTTTCATTTAGTTAGATTCAGGCAAATCCTTCAGATTTTTGCTACATAAAGAGAGAACCCCTCCCCCCCGCAGAAGATGGCCATACCACAATCCCTTCTCCTCTATTCTCTTCTTGGAATCTTGGGCATGCACGCATATGCACCTGGTATAAGTTATTTTTTTTTAATTTTTAATTATTTTATTTATCTTTATTTATTATTGTTATTATTTTCACATGAGTTTTGCCAGAGAAAGACCAAGAGAGAGAGAAAGCAAGCTGCCAGGTCCGGGACTCGAACTATGGTCAGCCATGAGGGACTGAATTCCAGCACCTTAACCACCACACCACTTGCTGGCCCTTGCACCTGGTATAAGTTTTACACATCCAGGACTTGAACCATGGTCGACTACGTGGGAGTCCAGCAATCTGCTGAGCCCTACCTCTTACCTTAAACTTTAAATATGCATCATAAGTTAACATACCTTTATTTTAAATTATTAAGTTAATTGGGCCTGTCATTTTGGTGAAGCATAATTGTCTGCAAGGTAGATGACCAGTGATGACATGGGTGGACCTAGTTTGTTTTTCATTATCCTATAATAACATGTAAACTTTAGTGACAAGATGAGAATTCACAATTTACTGTTTAAATCTGAATTCTTAGTATTGCTTTTCACACACTGAGCAAAATTGATTGACTAAAATTGGATCTCAAGGACATTAGGTTGTGTGGTTTGAAAATATTTCTGTCAGCCAAAGTAATTCAGTCTGAAGCAGTTGGCAACTAAATGTTTAAATTATATTTTATAATATATCTCATTATGATTCCATTGATATTAGGTACTTACCTACAATAATAAACTCATAATCATCTATAATTAATTTTCTTTTAGACCATAGGTCTTGTGCAGAGACTGGAGTAGAATTAATGCGGCCCTATCTTCATGAATTCCTAACATCTGCATATGAAGATTATGACATTGTTATTTGGTGTAAGCTATATTTTTTTTGTTTAGATTTCCATGGAAACAGAATTGCCTATATTATTTTTCTTTATAAAACATGACTTAAAATAACCTGTGCGTAAATATGAAAGTTTTTTCATATATATTTTTTTAGCAAATTTCTAAAGTAAAGCCTGTTTTGCTTTCCTGCCTTGCAGTAAAAACTTAAACACATACTTGCAGAACACCACTGGTATACTTAGCTATAGAACAAGAGTAGATGATGGTGTCAGAATGAAAAATGACCTTATGGACCCAGTCGCCCTACCCTCGTTAGGAACTTTCCTTCCTGATTTTTACTGTGGAATATATGATGCTTTAGTATATTGTTGTTTTCTCCTTTCTGCCTCAACTGGTTTCAAAACACTTGGAAAAAGATAAGCTTTTAAAAAAAACAACAACAAAAAAAGACAATGATGTAGTCTTTCAGAAATAAGGAAAGGCCATATGAATTACTTCAGAAAAAAATGAATATACAGACAAAAGCCTTTTGAAGTCATTGTGGATTATGGACCATTCCAAAAACATGCAAGTCGGTGATAATTAATCTTTGTTCTAGAAAGTAAACCTACCGTGTAACTAAGGAGATTATTTAGTTCAGTTGGCATTGTTTTGTAGCAAACATTTTTGAAAAATGAAGCAGTGCATTGATTTAATATCTCACCTCCCTGCAGACATTTAAAGTTGCCTCTTGGCAGTGTTGTAAGTAGAGAAAGATTATTCTAGTTGTGTATTAATAAAATCTCATTCATTAAAGGTACCAAATTTAATTAACTTTTTTTTTAAATTCATTCATTGAGAAAGAGAAGCACCCTCAACACAGTCCTGCACCAGCCTTTCTTAGTCAGCCAGGATCACGGGTGCACCCAGTATTTACAGATGGACTTGGGAACGGAGCCCTCACATCCACATGACCTTCAGTACTGAGAGCACTGAGCTGTCCCTGCACCACTGCTGCTGGGCCTGAACTAGGTCTTTGATGAAAAGCCACACAGTTGTCATAGTCTGTAAATTTCCTTTGTATTGGGTCATTGGAAAAATCATGATGTATTTTTCTGTGCAAAAAATGTGTCATTACTTTCCTGATGACCCAGTACTCTCCCTTATAATCAAAGTATTTGCATTGTTTAGTGATCATATGAGTTTGCAACTGTTAAGATTTAAAACCTGGGGGGCCAGGTGGCGGCATACCACTTGCACAACTGGATCCATATGGGGAAGGTCCTGGGTTCCCATGCTGGGACTTCTCTGAACATGCTGAGTGCATGTGCCTATGATCCAAGCTGGCAGAGACTGGGGGTGGGTTGTGGTGTAAAGGCCCTATCAAGGGTGCATATTTCTGTCTCTCTCGTGGAAGAAACAAACTTAAAAAATTAGTTAATACTTGATGGCTTTCTAGTTAATATTAGGATAAGAGGAAGAGAGTTTTAGGTAAGCAAATGTTTGTTCAGCATCTCTGACATCTGAGATGACAGCTGAGAAAAAAGTTTATCCTTTAAATTTTATTAAACTAACCTTAGAAATTTAGAGAACTTTTTATGATCATATTTAAAATAAGGGGACAGCCTGTGGCATGGTGGTTAAGGTGGCTGGATGGCTGGATTCCACATGACCAACTGTGGATTGAGTCCCAGACCTGGCAGCCTGAAAAGAACATGTGTGCATGTGTACCTCAAATCCAAAATTCCAGAAGGAGGGAGAAATGGAGAAGGGACTGTGGCATGACTGTCTTCCATGCAGGGTGCTTTCTCACCACCCCTCCACTCTAAAGGCACTTCACTGTGTAATTAAATAAACTAGGGTTTTAGTTCTGGTTCTGTTGTGTTTTTTGTTTTGCTTTTTTAGTTTTTCTATAGGGCATATGCAATTGCTGGAGACAGAGGGAGAGAGAGAGAAAGAAAGCACCCCCCAGAAGGAACGGCTGTGTCATAATCCCTTCTACTTCATTCTGCTATTGGATTTTGGGCATGCATACACACATGCCCAGACTGTTTCTCAAGCCATTGAATCTGGAACTTGAACTATGTAGTCAGCCATGTAGGACCCAGCCACTTTAACTATTGTGTCACCAGATGGCCTCTGGTTCTGTCTTTGCTGTGTGACACTGGACAGGTCACTTAATTTCTCTGAGCTTGAGTTTACTGATCTGAGGAACAAAGATAACTAAATCTGTGTTACAGGTTAGTCATGAAAATAAAAATATCTGTATAGCAACTAGCACTGTGTCTGACAGATAATAGTTGATTAGAAATTATATTTATTAGCTGTGAATCATTTTTTTTAATCTGGAAATTATAGACACAAAATAATAACTGAATTTTTAAAATAATTTTTTATCTTATGACTTTTCATCATAGATACAACAGTCTGTAAAATTTTAGTTCAGTTGCCCAGTTTTGTGTGTAAGGTGATTCTTTTGCTTTCTGTGTGTGTGAGCTAAGTATTTTTATTATGACAATTCATGTACCGCTTTCGTCTGTATAAAAAATATATACACGCTTCAGATAATTAAACTATTAAACTACTTTTTAAAAAATCATTTTACTTGATAATATCTCTATAATTTAGTCCAGTAATGTATAGAAGTAGGAGAGCCCATAGACTGAGGATTGAATGTTAGTATTCAGTGAGCTCAAAACTGGTTAATGAGTGACAGTGAGCAGATAAACAGCAGAGGCATGCTTGATGAAATTTGTCTCAATTTCTTGTTACAAGCTGCTAGTTCAGTGAGCCATTAAGTTCACTGAGTCTGACAAATGGAAATTTCATTGGACTTACAGTCTTCAACGTGAACTTGACATATTGTAGATGTGTTTGCGTTGCCTGGAAGTAAACGTGTGAAAGAAAGTTGAGATCCAGGAACCCTCAATTTAAGTTTAGAATGATAGAGAAATAATGGTAGAGCTGTTTTTAAAGGGGGGTTGGGTCATAATTTATTAGTTTACCAGGTTCAGAGTTCTTTTGAGCTTGATTATCTGTATCTTATATATAGATGCTGTTTAAATCTTACTGTTTTTTATTGAGGACAATTAAAAGAAGCTTATCTTTATAAATATGTAAAAGAAAATTAATTGTAAATATGCTTGCAACTATTATTTGTGATATATTTAAACTTTTAGACTTGCTTAGAAAATTTACTATACAAAGATTTTTTTAGACGAAATTCAAATTTTCACATGCATTATCATTCTTCATGTTTTAGCTGCAACAAATATGAAGTGGATTGAAGCTAAAATGAAAGTAAGTGTTAGAAAACAATTCACTTGGAAATGTTTTGAAACTGCATTTATCTTATTGCAAGTTCTGGAACTGAAATAATTTTACTCTTTTTAGAGAGCATTTAGTAGATAAATAAGTGCCACTATCAAGAGTGCAGATACGTTTAAAGTCTGTGTGGGTATTCCTGAATGTCCGAGTCTTTTACAAGAAAAGAGCTCAGTTAAATTCTCTTCCTTTTCTCCCCATTTTATAATAAGACTTTTTTCATTTGCTCTGGTGTATAATACTTAAAGAGGGGATGCTCTTCTAAAATGATAAAGTAGGAAGGAATCTACTTCTAGTTTACTTTCCCTAGACTGCTATTATTGACTTAGCTAGATGAAACTAAACTACTTGTGCAGCAAGACGTGGTGATCAGTGAGGAGAAAGTTGCAGCAGGACTCTCAAGAAAGTCTGGAATTTTCCCCATGTTTTAACCTCTTGAATGTTTGTGTTTATAGGAACTGGGAGTGAGCACCAATGCAAATTACAAGATTACCTTCATGTTGGACAGTGCTGCTATGATAACAGTGCATACTCCACGGAGAGGGTTAATAGACGTAAGAAGTCATTTTGCTTCTATTTAAAGATGTGTTTATTTCCTAGTGTTCCTTTTGTGTTTATACTGAAAAGATAAACTGCATAGAGAGTTCAGAAATTTATCTGAGGGGATAGTAAAGTGTCAGTTGAGTTTTGACGTAAGAAAACGTATTTAAGGTTTAAGAGATTAGAATTTTGTACGTCACTTTCCCGTTCTTGTACATGTCACTTTCCTTTTCTGGAACCTAAATCCACGTGGCCACGAGGCTACACTGAGTTGCTCGGAAGCAGGCATGACAAACTGCCTAATTCAAATCGCGGTAAGATTTGCTCAATTAAACTCCACTAAATTAAATTTTCTGTTTTTTTTTTTTTCTTTTAACATGAATGTGAAAGGAAAAATGGAAACAAAATTGTATATAGACTTTATCTCAGTTATGAAAATCAAATAAAAACATGCATAGAAAAATACTAAGAAAAAAGGAATTTTAATGATAAAATGATGGCAGCAGTATTGCTGGACAGAATAGGTAAGAAAAGTACTGAGTATCATCAAGGAAGATAGGAGAAGTAAACCAAAACATACTCACCCTGCCTGGTATGAAACTGGTAATAAAAACAGCATACGGGCCAGCAAGTGGTGTGGAGGTTAAGGTGCTGGATCCTTCACGGCCAGCTCTGCGCTGTGAATCCAGGACCTGGTGGCTTAAATCCTGCTCTGTGTGTGTGTGTGCACATACCCAAAATCCTGAGAGGAAAGCAGAGAAGGGATTGTAGCATGGCCACGCCCTCTGAGGACGTGATTTCTTGCTTTCCCCCTCTCTGTGTGTGTCTGTCTCTGGTGAGTGCATGTGATCTATAACAAAACAGACAAAATAAAAAACAAAACAGGTGCATCACGCTGCATATACTAGGGAGTGATGTACTTGTAGCTTTAGGAAATAGTTTTTGAGACGTTTTTTCACTAGGGTGTGTGTGCTCACTGGGGAGGGGGAGAGAGAGAGAGACAGGAAGAGAGAAAGTGAGAAATCCCCCCCTCCCCCCCCCGAGGGAATGACCACGCTGCAATCCCTTTTCCTCCATTCTGTTCCCAGGATCTTGGGCACACACGCACATGTGCCTGGCATGCGTTTGAAGGCACCAGGTCTGGGACTGGAACCATAGTCAGCCATGTGGGAGTCCAGCAACATAACTGCTATACCATTTGCTGACCCCACTACTCGTGTTTTTGAGTACCTGCCCATGGTAGGCACTTTGGAGAATCAAGATGAGCCATCCATAGTCCATGACTTTTGAAAGTACACAAGTAAGAATTAGGGAGAACTTAGATACTAGGAGTGCTTAGGGGAAACAGTCTAAAAATCACCCTAAAATCATAAATAGAATGGTTTAAGTGCATGGAGACTTGTATAATAAAGGAAATACTTCCTCTGTCAGGGAAAAAAGTGTAATTTACCTACTAAAGTAAAATACATTTATAAAATTACATGTTAAAAAAATTGGGAGATGTTAAACATTAACAATGTTTATAATAGTGAAAAATTAAAGGAATAAAAATTTGGAGCAATAGGAAATTGGATATATAAATGATTATTGTCTAAATAATGGAATGGAACCAGGCATTTAGTGTAGGATATTTATTTAAAATTTTTTGATGAAACATTCAAGCAAAAGAGATATTTTGAAGAGCAGTGTTTGTAAGTCATTAGAAAATATTGGGTGGTCAAGAAAGTCATGGCGCATTTTCCCATAGAAAACTAAGTCACGACTTTCCTGAAGACCCAGTAGTTCTTTTTTCCTTTTTTTTCTTTTCTTTTTTTTTTTTTTTGAGAGGTTTTTCGCTATCGGGCATGTGCGCTCGCCTGACAGACAGAGAGAGACATAGAGACAGAAAGCGAGAAATCACCCGCCAGTGGGGATGGTCACACCGCAATCCCTTCTCCATTCTCCTCTTGGGATCTTGGGCATACACGCACACGGCGTGAGTTTTAAGCCACTGGGTCTGGGACGAGAACCTTAGTCGACTACGTGGGAGTCCAGTGACATAGCCATTACGCTAACTGCTGGTTCCCAAGACCTAGTAGTTGTTAACCTTTGGTTCAGGATTGCCCTTAACTTAACAAAGGATCCGTGAACTCTCTGAGACTACTTCTGTTGTATAAAAGCCTGGAGGTAAATACATTAGAATATCTAGTAGTTATTTTTGATATTGCCTAGATTATTGGTTATTTAAATTTTTCCTTTGTGCTTTTCTGTATTTTTTTATGGTCACCAATATTGCTTTAGTAATTGAGAACAAAGTAGTCCGTGTTTTAGGGAACAAATGGCTCCTGGCATGATTACCAATTTGTTAGCACTTTTTAAGAGAATATAGAATTTCTGGGACCAGCAAGTGGGGTGGTGGTTAAAGGGCTGGACACTCCCACATGGCCAACCACAGTTCGAGTCCCAGACCTGGTGGCTTTCTCTCTCTCTCTGCCTCTGGTCAAATTAAAATAAACAAATGAATAAATTTTTAAAAATTAAATATTAAGGAGAGAATATAACATTTCTAACCCTGGATACCAGAGAAATTGACCTCTGTTGTCTTATTTCTTGAGGATTTTGTTAGCTAAAAATAAAAATAACCCACGAATCTGGCTTATATGAGTTTCTATATATTTGTCTTTAAGGATTTGTAGGTTTTGTTTCAGTATTAAGAAAATAATAAAACAAATTCAGGCAAGTAAAATTTTAGTACAATTAAAATATTTCAGTAGCATTCTTTGCCGTAGGTGGGACAATAGGAAGGAAAAAGCTTTCTCCCTAGTGAATTATAGAAGTAGAAAAAGAAAACTTTTTTTTGAAAAAGAAAACATTTTTAAATGGTAACATTTGTCATCATTTATTATGACTTAAATCTCATGTAATTATCACCATATAATATCATATTACTATCAATAACATTTTCACCTTCAGCAAAAAGTGGTTTTTTCTTTTAAAAATGAATGAATTTAAACATTTTTCTGAATGTGTAGTACAGTTGGCTCTTTATAGCCAGCGATGGCACCCATGGACTTAGCCACCTGTGGAGTGAATTTCCTCCACATCCAAGGATGCAGAGCACACTGGTTGAGCAGACTGGAAGGGACTTAATGGGTATCCCCAGGGATCCCAGAGCCAGTTCCCCTTCAATATGGTGGGGGGAGGGGGGGACCATTGTACATTCATTCATAGGACTCAAACATTAAAGTACATGATGGGAAGTCTTTCTCCCATCTGAGCTCTCCAGCCACTTATTCTCCTTACAGGCAATCACTGTTATTTCTTCTGTGGTCTTATGGAGACTTCATGCAAATACCCACAGACATGACTATCTAAAAAATTATCACCTTTGAATCTTTGGTTTTAAGCATTCAGAACTGAGAGCAAGAATTTACAAATTATGGTTCTTTTGAAATTAAGCCATCAAATGCGCTAGAAACTATGCTGAATTAAAGACAAAATCAGGGGGCAGGCAGGTGGTGTGCTGGTTAAAGGTGCTGGACTCCCACACGGCCAACTGCAGTTCGAGTCCTGGACCTGTTGGCTTGCTGTCTCACTATCCCTCTCTCTCTCTGTTTCTGATCAAACTGGAAAGTAATAACAATAAGTAAAGTTAAATAAAATAATTCTTTTTTAAAAAAGACAAAATCAGTTTTTCCTCTATAAAATATTAAAATTATTAACTAAAAGGATCACATACATTTTTCTCTTAGGAAAGGAATAAACAGGCCCCATGAGGCTCTCAAGCCTTGTTAGGGCATGCATTTGTCCAGAATGTCATGTTACTGTGAAGAAACATCTAAACAATTATTTTAGGTCCTTACTCTTTAAATTAAATAGTTATATTTTCTATGACCAAAATCTCCATGTTAGAATTATAGAAACCCTTATAATGATTTTAATTGGGTCAAATATGAATGAACCTTTCACATTGCAATATACTTAAAGTGTGTTGCCTTTGCGATCAACTCGCCCAGCCAACCATACCTTGCAGGAGGAAAGGAATGCTCTAGCATTGTTCTTTAGGGCATTTTATATTTTTGCTTTTAGGAAAGGGGGAAACTATTGATAAAATTTCTGTTAAATCTAAATTTTATTCTAAGGTAAAGCCACTTGGTGTTATATGGGGAAAATTTTCGGAGTTTTACAGCAAAAAAAACACCATTATGTTTGACGACATAGGAAGAAATTTTCTAATGAACCCGCAGAATGGACTAAAGGTAAGACATTATTTTACTTACTAATATGCTTGTGCAATCCGAACTATGTTGTAGAACTTTAAGCTCTGCTTAATTTGATAACCTTTTTGAAGAATTGTATTCATGTGGTCACAGGCAAGAAAAGCATAAGAATTTACAAAAATGTATTTAAAGTTGAACGTGCTCTTTTGCAGGGTTAGCTCCTTGGTTTGTCGACTCATCCAAATGTTTTGTCTTCAGTTTGCTCTGTGGGAGCCATATGGGCTTACTGACATTGACTTGAGGCATCAAAAGTGAAACCTTCAGACATTTTATTAGGGATACAAATCTTGGAGTTTCTGCTATTTCTCTTAGCTGGACAGCTTTCAGTAAGGGCACTTTGCTTTTTTCAATTTAAGCTGAAACTAAAGATGTTTTTGAAAATTTATCTGAGGCAAGTGCAGATCTTAGAATTATAAAATGTCAGAGCTAGAAGGAGCCATCGTCATCTTGTCTACCTTCTTAACTTTAGAAACAGCCTTTTAGTTTATGATTTGTCTTAGATCTTGTTTAATAAGTGACAAAATTTGCGTTAGAATCCAGGTGACTTGTTTTAAGGGTAAGTGATAAAGAGGGAGAGGGGGCAAAGCACCTCCTAATGGGACATGATCACTCTGCAGTCCCTTCTCTATTTCTCCATTCTGTGAGAATTTGGGGGCCTGTGTGCACATGCGCCCAACATGTTTTCTAAGCTGCTGGTGCTGGGATTTGAACTGTAGTCGGTCATGTGGAATCTGGCTCCCTTAATATGGGGGGGGGGGGACCATTGTACATTCATTCATAGGACTCAAACATTAAAGTACATGATGGGAAGTCTTTCTCCCATCTGAGCTCTCCAGCCACTTATTCTCCTTACAGGCAATCACTGTTATTTCTTCTGTGGTCTTATGGAGACTTCATGCAAATACCCACAGACATGACTATCTAAAAAATTATCACCTTTGAATCTTTGGTTTTAAGCATTCAGAACTGAGAGCAAGAATTTACAAATTATGGTTCTTTTGAAATTAAGCCATCAAATGCGCTAGAAACTATGCTGAATTAAAGACAAAATCAGGGGGCAGGCAGGTGGTGTGCTGGTTAAAGGTGCTGGACTCCCACACGGCCAACTGCAGTTCGAGTCCTGGACCTGTTGGCTTGCTGTCTCACTATCCCTCTCTCTCTCTGTTTCTGATCAAACTGGAAAGTAATAACAATAAGTAAAGTTAAATAAAATAATTCTTTTTTAAAAAAGACAAAATCAGTTTTTCCTCTATAAAATATTAAAATTATTAACTAAAAGGATCACATACATTTTTCTCTTAGGAAAGGAATAAACAGGCCCCATGAGGCTCTCAAGCCTTGTTAGGGCATGCATTTGTCCAGAATGTCATGTTACTGTGAAGAAACATCTAAACAATTATTTTAGGTCCTTACTCTTTAAATTAAATAGTTATATTTTCTATGACCAAAATCTCCATGTTAGAATTATAGAAACCCTTATAATGATTTTAATTGGGTCAAATATGAATGAACCTTTCACATTGCAATATACTTAAAGTGTGTTGCCTTTGCGATCAACTCGCCCAGCCAACCATACCTTGCAGGAGGAAAGGAATGCTCTAGCATTGTTCTTTAGGGCATTTTATATTTTATTTTTGCTTTTAGGGGGAAACTATTGATAAAATTTCTGTTAAATCTAAATTTTATTCTAAGGTAAAGCCACTTGGTGTTATATGGGGAAAATTTTCGGAGTTTTACAGCAAAAAAAACACCATTATGTTTGACGACATAGGAAGAAATTTTCTAATGAACCCGCAGAATGGACTAAAGGTAAGACATTATTTTACTTACTAATATGCTTGAACAATCCGAACTATGTTGTAGAACTTTAAGCTCTGCTTAATTTGATAACCTTTTTGAAGAATTGTATTCATGTGGTCACAGGCAAGAAAAGCATAAGAATTTACAAAAATGTATTTAAAGTTGAACGTGCTCTTTTGCAGGGTTAGCTCCTTGGTTTGTCGACTCATCCAAATGTTTTGTCTTCAGTTTGCTCTGTGGGAGCCATATGGGCTTACTGACATTGACTTGAGGCATCAAAAGTGAAACCTTCAGACATTTTATTAGGGATACAAATCTTGGAGTTTCTGCTATTTCTCTTAGCTGGACAGCTTTCAGTAAGGGCACTTTGCTTTTTTCAATTTAAGCTGAAACTAAAGATGTTTTTGAAAATTTATCTGAGGCAAGTGCAGATCTTAGAATTATAAAATGTCAGAGCTAGAAGGAGCCATCGTCATCTTGTCTACCTTCTTAACTTTAGAAACAGCCTTTTAGTTTATGATTTGTCTTAGATCTTGTTTAATAAGTGACAAAATTTGCGTTAGAATCCAGGTGACTTGTTTTAAGGGTAAGTGATAAAGAGGGAGAGGGGGCAAAGCACCTCCTAATGGGACATGATCACTCTGCAGTCCCTTCTCTATTTCTCCATTCTGTGAGAATTTGGGGGCCTGTGTGCACATGCGCCCAACATGTTTTCTAAGCTGCTGGTGCTGGGATTTGAACTGTAGTCGGTCATGTGGAATCTGGCTCCCTTAACCACTGGGCCGTGGGCCAGCCCAAGACTCTTGATTCAGGGAGAGGTGATATAAACTTCTAGTTCTTTCTACTTACATCAGGGTTTTTGAAAAAAGCTGGCACATTCTGTACTCACTGAAAGAATTCTTAAATATACATGTGTCACTGTTTCCCCAAACTTTGGTTCGGGAGGTATTTTCCAGCATTTCACAGATGATCTCTTAACATGTCTCCTTTAGAAAACCTCTTTAAAGTAATTATTAAGAATCTGTTCATTTTGGCATAGAAACAGTTCTAAAATTGAAAATTATTAAAATACTGTTTTGTTAACCGCAGTTTCTCAAGAAAAGATTTCACTGAGATCTTGAAACTAAGACTGCCAGCAGGGCGTGTGGAGATTAAGGTGGCTGGATCCCACATGGTTGACTATGCTCTCTGAATCTCGGACATGAAGCTTGAAAATTGTTCTGGGTATATGTGTATGTGCGCCCCAAATCCTGAGAGGAGAATGATAGAAAAGGGATTATGATGTGGCCCTCCCCTTAGGAGCGAATTTCTCACTTGCTTTCTCTCTCTCTCTCTGCCCCTCCACTCCAATCAGCATATGCACCCTATAGGAAAACAAAGCAAAAACAGAAAAAAAGACTACATGTTTGTAAAATAGTTAACTTCTAATATAAGCTTGCCAGGCTTAAGATTTGAAATATAGGACCAGCAGTTGGCGTAATGGCTATGTCTCAGGACTACTGTGTAGTTGACCATGGTTCGAGTCCCAGAATCAGTGTTTTAAATTCAGACTAGGCGTGTGTACGTGCATGCCCAAGATCCTGAGAGGAGAATGGAAGAGAAAGGATTGTGGCATGGCCATCCCCCTGGGGGGTGTTGTCTCGTTTTCTGTCTCTCTTTCTCTCTCTGTCTTTCTGGTAAGCACACGTGCCCTGTAGCAAAAACATCTCAAAAAAAAAAAAATTGAAATATGAGGGCATTGCGAATATGCATACAGTATTAAATTAAAAAAATATAAACGTTTGTTATGGATCAAGCAGCTAATAGTCTCAAAACTTCATATTTTTGTTACCTATAGAAGGAAATGATACTATAAGAGAATTCAGCTAATCTAAACAACCTTAAATTCCTAAAAATGTTTCTTTGCTGTGAGACAACAAGATGATGGTCGTGTATTTTGGTTGCCCGGCTAGTGAATACTTAGATTTGTTTTGAAAAAACAGTGTAATAAACAGTGATTATACTGAAACAAATTAAGTCAATCAGGTAAATAAAAGACTTTTCACCCTTAATTAGCTTACTTATTTTAGAACCAGAATATTAGAGTATTTTATTTTTGTCATCGAGTAGCGCTGAAGACCAAATGTTTGGAAAGTAATAACACTGCAGGCCTTGGGTTGAAAATCTTATTTCCTAACCACCGATCCTGCCCTTTCTCTTTCCAGCTTTTTAAATATGTTAATAGTTTAAAAGTTGCTGTTGTAACTTTAGGGGTTGAATACACCAGTACTTTAGAACATTACCATATTGCCCAGGATTATGAGAAACTTACTTCAGTACTTCATCATATCATGCCTGTGGTTACTCCAAATCCCAGAGCTTCAGGAAGGTTCTGTGAAGCATCTTCTGGATTCCCACTGCCTGTGCTTCTCGCTTGGAAGTGGGATCTGTGCTTGTTTCTGATCAGATTCACTTTGACAGCTCTTACTGGTGCCCTTCAAGCAGGAGGGGAGCCCAGCTGACAGCTGGGGGGATTTTCCTCTGTCCATTCTAGGCTGCTGGTGTATCTTTCCAATGACAAAGAAAAGTCTATACAAATATTTAAAGCCTTCCCTGCTTTCCTTAGATATGACTGTGGACTCCTTTAGGTTTATTCTCTATTCTCAGTAAGTGACAATGATGGTCATCTGTTTTTCTGTGTTACGATGTCAAGAATTAATAGCTAATTTGAATTTTCTTTAAATCAGAGTAAGGATATATTAATATTTTGTTAAGTATGACTTATTCAGTCCTTAAATGCATGCTTTCGGAGTACCGTGGATTTTTTAAAAAGATTTCATAGTAGTACAATTCACATATAAACAGAACTATATAGAATTATATAACTAACTCTGACATATATCATTAAATCTGAACAACTTATTAATTCATGAATGGTTACATTGTATACCTTATCTGCTTTTCTCCAGTTACTGTTTTAAAGCAAAATTCAGACATTTTTTTTTTTTTAAATTCAGACATCTTATTTCATTTAAAGTTAATTAAAATTTTTTAGAAAGACTTTCTTGAGTTATATAAAGATATGTGAGCTAACGTCTTGAGAAAAGCAAAACTCTTTATTGGAACTATAACGTAAAGAAAATACATAAAATTTATGGTTTAACATGTTTTTGTCATAAATATAACTCATAACCACCACCTAAGTCAAAGTATAACATCCTTTTCTGATTACAATCCCCTACTCCTGCCTACTCTCCTGACTTTTATAGTTTGAAGTGATACTTTTTAGATGAATGCTTTTTTTTGGAGAGGTTTTTCGTTATAGGGCACGTGTGCTTGCCAGACAGACAGAGACAGAGAGACAAAAAGTGAGAAATCACCCCCCAGGGGGGATGGTCATGCCGCAATCCCTTCTCCTCCATTCTCCTCTCAGGATCTTGGGCATGCATGCACACGTGCCAGGCATGAGTTTTAAGCCACCAGGTCCGGGACGTGAACCGCGGTTGACTACGTGGGAGTCCAGCGACATAGCCATTACACTAACTGCTGGTTCCCAGGTGACTGCTTTTCATCATAAAATATAAGAGCCTTAAAAATTTAGAAAATATGCTTTCTTTTATGGGAAACTTGCATAATTAAAAATTTTTATGGATAATTTAATGATAAAAATGTACATGATACAATGTGGGAGAAAAAGAATGATATAAATTATAATGATGCCTCAGCTCTATAAAAATTTAATTGAAAAATACTAAAATGAAAATCATTGCTTCCTTTTAGCCGGAACCACCATCTTCCAATAATTCACCAAAATGACAAACACAAAGAGAAAGAGGAGAGGCACCCGAATATGTTCTCTAGGCCTTTTAGAAAACATGGAATGGGGAACCAGCAGTTAGCGTAATGGCTGTGTCGCTGGACTCTCCCACGTAGTCGACCGCGGTTTGCGTCCTGGACCCGGTGGCTTAAAACTCACGCCGGGCACATGTGCATGCGTGCCCAAGATCCCGAGAGGAGAATGGAGGAGAAGGGATTGCGGCGTGGCCATTCCCCCTGGGGGGTGATTTCTCGCTTTCTATCTCTCTGTTTCTCTCTGTCTGTCTGGCGAGCTCACACGCCCTATAGCGAAAACCTCTCAAAAAAAAAAAAAAAGAAAAGAAAACATGGAGTGGTTCGTTTGGCAGCATGTATGTGAATCTACAAGAAAGGTGATATTGCAGACATCAAGGGAGTGGGTACTGTTCAAAAAGAAATGCCCCATAAATATTACCATGGCAAAACTGGAAGTCTATAATATTACCCAGCATGCTATTGGCATTGTTGTAAACAAACAAGTTAAGGGCTAGATTCTTACCAAGAGAATTAATGTGTGTATTAAGCATTGTAAGAGCAGAGATAGCTTCCTAAAATGTGTGAAGGAAAATGACCAGAAAAAGAAGAAGCCAAAGAGAAAGGTACCTGGGTTCAATAGAAGTGCCAGCCTGTTCCACCCAGAGAAGCTCACTTTGTGAGAACCAATGGAAAGGAGCCTGAGCTTCTGGAACCTATTCCCTTTGAATTCATGGCATCATGGGTGCTAAAATAAACTGAACTATGGTCTTTAAAAAGAAAGAAACAAAATCATTAGTGTTAATATTTCTCTCAATCCCTAGATAAAGCTTGTATTCAGGTTAACTTTTTGTGAATATTGAAATAGTATAAATTAAGTAAATAAAATAGAAGCAACTAGAATGGTAGAAGAGAGAAGGAAGCCTAAGCAGTTTGGGAAGTAGAGTAGCCACTTAGGGATTCAAATGCTACAAGACAGCTGCCATTGTCAGGGTCTGAGTGAAAAGATAATGTCAAAACAGGATGGAAAAGGTGGTAATCTGTTCTGTAAACTTTACACATGACTTTCTGTTTACAAAACTTAGGCTAATATAAAAGCAGTTGTTTGTATTGCTATCTGAGGTGATAGTTTAGCCTGATTAACTCTACTCTAAGTGATAGACTAAAGTGGATTCTGGTAGTTTTTCTTATCACAATGTGAAGTGTTGAACAATGTTTGTTTCCTCATAGATAAGGCCTTTTATGAAAGCGCACCTAAATCGTGATAAAGACAAAGAACTTTTAAAATTAACTCAGTACCTCAAGGAGATAGCAAAATTAGATGACTTTTTGGAGTTAAATCATAAATATTGGGAAAGGTAAGTGCTAATTGCTTGTTTATATCATTACAGCAATGAATGAAAAAATTATCTGGTGACTGACATGTAGATATATATGAGAGATATATATGGTATATACATACATATATCATATATATATATATATGGTAGTTGGGAAAGTCAGGATGCATTTTTGCATAGAAAAACAGAGAAGAATACATCATAACATTCCTGACAAATATATATATATATATATATATATAATATACACACACACACACACACACACACACACACACACACTCTTATTTTTATTCTATTTTTTTAAAAGACAGTCTCACCATATTGAGGTAATCCTACAGCCTCAGGCTTCCAGTTGGAACTACAGGCATGTGCTACCAAGTCCTGCTGTTTTATTTTTATAAGATCTGGTGTTGCCATGCGGCCCAGACCAGCAGTCAGTTTACATCCTGCTGCTCCTCAGCCTCCCCGTTTCTCTGGGATTACAGGTGTGCCCACTGCCACTAGGTTGGACTGAGAAACAAACTCAGGCTTTCCATGGGCCCCAACCCTGTTGGGCACAGTGTCCTAGCAGTGCACTACTGTGGCCAGGCCTGTAACTCTTAATCTGTATTTAATAAAAGTGTTTTTGTATCCAGTGACATTTCCCTTTGAAAGTATTTCCCCCTTTTGTCTTAACCTCTAGCTTGTTCAGAAACCCACATCTTTTGTGTACTTCTAGTAGAACTTGAAGACTGAGCGTATCTGTGATGTTGCCTATAAATTATTTTTAACATTAAATAAGCCACTCCTTTATGAATCCCATGAGAATATAACAGGGGTTATAATGTTATATATTATAACCCCTGTTACATTCTCATACTGCAAAATAATATTAGGATAAAATAAAATATATTAAAGAATGTTCTGAATAGTGTTTAAAAGTATAAGTGACTTCTGTATGTAGTGGAGAAATTAGAAATATTTTATTCCATTGAATAAATGATTTCAGTTGACCCTTGAACAGTGCAGGGATTGGTGTGCTGACCCCTCATGCAGTCAGAAAATTCATGCCTAATTTTTAATTATTTTTTAGTTTTTTTCTTTCATAAGACAGATAGATGCGTGCACGTACACACACACACACACACACACACACACACACCCTCAGCATGGTCTCATGCCAAGATCCCCACCTCAGCCGTTTTAGCCAGTCAGGGTCACAGGCACGTGTACGCATGCCTGGTGTGTACCCGTCAACCTGAAGCCACGCCCTCTCCATGTGGCTTCCAGCATTCAGATGTCGTGCTGCCACTGCACTGCTGCAGCTGGGTCATGCATATGACTTTCGACTCTCCAAAAACTGAACTACTGATATAACCAGAAGCCTTACCAGTAAACAGTCAGTTAACACCTATTTTTTTGGCCCACTCTCTTCATGCAAGAATAATAAGATCTTTAAATAGGATTGGAATTTTTTGAGACATTATAATGCTAGTTAATATATTGACTTTCTCATTTGGAAGTAGGGCTGTCTGTGGTCGAGGTACACACAAAACCTCTGGAGTCTCGTTTTGAATCTAAGCTCTGCCATTTTCTGGGTAAAAATTTGGGCAAAGTACCTGTTTGCATCTATAAAATAGGAATAATTTCTAAGATTCTGTGAGGACTAAGTGAACTAATCTGTTAGTCCAGTGCTTGGCTCATAAGCAATCAACAGATGTTAGCTATTACTAACAACACTCATCTTCAGAAGTTTTGTCATTAAAATCATTAAAATAAATTCCTTTGGAAGGAGACTTAGATTATTTTCATAAATTTAGCACGTTACAGCTTTGACATCTTTCATTTTATTTCGTGCAGGTATCTCTCCAAGAAGCAAGGACAGTAGTTATGTGTCATACTGGCAGTTATTCAAGATACCTGAGATCCGTGGACTTCTTGCTTTATGCTAGGAATCATTGTGATAGTGCTGGACACTGAAGCAAATACCTGACTGCTTATACTTGGTCTTCCAGTTTTTGTAAATTTAATTTTATATTTTTTGAAGATCATAGCAATATGCTAAAATAAAAGTTCTTTTTTCCCCATGTGAATATACTATTACTCTTTAAAAATATTTTCTCCAGCTCTAGCATTGATTACTTAGTTCTTACACACACACACACACACACACACACACACACAGAAAGTGGAGAAAAATGTATATGCAACAATATAATTTTGTGACTTTGGAAACAAGTTACATATTTTTGTCTCATGTTATTGTCTGACCAAGGCCAAACTCATCTTAAAACTAGTGCTTTTTTCTTCAAAACAAAAAAAAAGTATTTGAATTTTTAAAAACCTAGTTTGTTATTCTTAAAATTACCAAGAATTTTTTATTCCTCCATCATACACAGATTTTCTTCCGTGCCCTGCTAGTTACATATCAGAATTCTGAACTCTCTGTTTGGTCTGTGTATGTGTCAGTATTCTTAAGGTAAAACTGGAAAGCGTCAGTTGTGATACAGCTCAGTTCTAATAAGAAAAACAGAAAACAAAAGCCTGAAGAATAAAACTAAGGAACAATAGTGTGTCTCTTTTTGATGGCTAAGTGGAAACTCTTCTGCCCAAAACCATTGTCATAAAAGCACTGACAGGCAATAAACTTTAAAGCAGGACATATCACTGATTCAACCCTAAGCATGAACAAAAAGTTTTTGTTCTGTTTCAGCTGTATCTTGTCTAAGTGCTAACACTGTGTTTCAGTGAAAATATCTAGCCATAAGATTTCTGAAAACATTATTTGCAATGCTTAAGCCTGCAGATATGTAATGTGACCACTGTTTTGTGTTGACAGTATTGCTTTATACAGTTCTTGTATCTGGAAGGAATCGATCCTTTTAAATAAACATGGTGTATATTGTTCTTATGGGACTATTTCAGTGGTGTAAATAATAAATATCTTTTCTTAAAACACTGGTTATCTGTTCTATATTACTGCATATATTTTGCCTCTTTGTTGAATCACAACATGAACACTAGGTTCAGGCAAGGACTTCTTTGAAGAAATTAACACACCTCTATGATATTAAAGCAGTATATGTCAGAACCAGCAGATGGTGTAATGGTTACATTGCTGGACTCCCATGGTAGTCGACCATGGTTTGAATCGTGGACCTGGTGTCTTAAAACTCACGCCAGGCATGTGTGTGTGCATGCCCAAAATCCTGAGAGGAGAATGGAGGAGAAAGGATTACAGCATAGCTGTCCTTACTGAGGAGGTGATTTCTTGCTTTTTGTCTCTCTCTGGTAAGCACACGTGCCCTATAGCAAAAATCCCAAAAAGAAAAGAAAAAGGTTTGGGTATGTTTATCACTGTGCATTCAGAAATGGGTTTAAGAGCTACTTTTGATATATTGAATTTTTTTTTTTTTTTTTTTTTTTTTTTTTTAGTTTTTGCTCTTAGGGCATGTGCGCTTGCCAGAGAGACAGAAAGCGAGAAATCCTCCTCTCCAGTGGAGACGGCCACACCACAATCCCTTTTCCTCCATTTTCCTCTCAGGATTTTGGGTAAGCACACACATACACCCAGCTTGAGTTTTAAGCTGCCATGTCTGGGACTTGAACCATGATTGACCATGTGGGAGTCCAATGCCTTTACTATGCCACCTGCTGGCCCCTGATACATTAATCAGCATGTTTTTGGAAATAACTCTTTCCTTTGTGATAGGTTACTTAAATGGTTATGTGGTACAGAAACACTTAACACTTTATATAATTAAAATGATTCGATTAATTTTTTTTATTATGAGCTAAATTTAAATAAGGGTAGAACAGTTTTTTTAAAAAGTGATTGTTGGTACATTTTCTCATAGTATAAAACAGTTAATTATTCAAAAATAGGCATGAGCCTTTTGGCCATAACCGCCATCTTCCAGTAATTAACCAAAATGACGAACA